TAGGGATGGGCCATGGGGAGATAGGCAGGGTAGGGATGGGCCATGGGGAGATAGGCAGGGTAGGGATGGGCCATGGGGAGATAGGCAGGGTAGGGATGGGCCATGGGGAGATAGGCAGGGTAGGGATGGGCCATGGGGAGATAGGCAGGGTAGAGATGGGCCATGGGGAGATAGGCAGGGTAGGGATGGGCCATGGGGAGATAGGCAGGGTAGGGATGGGTCATGGGGAGATAGGCAGGGTAGGGATGGGCCATGGGGAGATAGGCAGGGTAGAGATGGGCCATGGGGAGATAGGCAGGGTAGGGATGGGCCATGGGGAGATAGGGGGTAGGGATGGGCCATGGGGAGATAGGCAGGGTAGGGATGGGCCATGGGGAGATAGGCAGGGTAGGGATGGGGCCATGGGGAGATAGGCAGGGTAGGGATGGGCCATGGGGAGATAGGCAGGGTAGGGATGGGCCATGGGGAGATAGGCAGGGTAGGGATGGGCCATGGGGAGATAGGCAGGGTAGGGATGGGCCATGGGGAGATAGGCAGGGTAGGGATGGGCCATGGGGAGATAAGCAGGGTAGGGATGGGCCATGGGGAGATAGGCAGGGTAGGGATGGGCCATGGGGAGATAGACAGGGTAGGGATGGGTCATGGGGAGATAGGCAGGGTAGGGATGGGCCATGGGGAGATAGGCAGGGTAGGGATGGGTCATGGGGAGATAGGCAGGGTAGGGATGGGCCATGGGGAGATAGGCAGGGTAGAGATGGGCCATGGGGAGATAGGCAGGGTAGGGATGGGCCATGGGAGATAGGCAGGGTAGGGATGGGCCATGGGGAGATAGGCAGGGTAGGGATGGGTCATGGGGAGATAGGCAGGGTAGGGATGGGTCATGGGGAGATAGGCAGGGTAGAGATGGGCCATGGGGAGATAGGCAGGGTAGGGATGGGCCATGGGGAGATAGGCAGGGTAGGGATGGGCCATGGGGAGATAGGCAGGGTAGGGATGGGCCATGGGGAGATAGGCAGGGTAGGGATGGGCCATGGGGAGATAGGCAGGGTAGGGATGGGCCATGGGGAGATAGGCAGGGTAGGGATGGGCCATGGGGAGATAGGCAGGGTAGGGATGGGCCATGGGGAGATAGGCAGGGTAGGGATGGGCCATGGGGAGATAGGCAGGGTAGGGATGGGCCATGGGGAGATAGGCAGGGTAGGGATGGGCCATGGGGAGATAGGCAGGGTAGGGATGGGCCATGGGGAGATAGGCAGGGTAGGGATGGGCCATGGGGAGATAGGCAGGGTAGGGATGGGCCATGGGGAGATAGGCAGGGTAGGGATGGGCCATGGGGAGATAGGCAGGGTAGGATGGGCCATGGGGAGATAGGCAGGGTAGGGATGGGCCATGGGGAGATAGGCAGGGTAGGATGGGCCATGGGGAGATAGCAGGGTAGGGATGGGCCATGGGGAGATAGGCAGGGTAGGGATGGGCCATGGGGAGATAGGCAGGGTAGGGATGGGCCATGGGGAGATAGGCAGGGTAGGGATGGGCCATGGGGAGATAGGCAGGGTAGGGATGGGCCATGGGGAGATAGGCAGGGTAGGGATGGGCCATGGGGAGATAGGCAGGGTAGGGATGGGCCATGGGGAGATAGGCAGGGTAGGGATGGGCCATGGGGAGATAGGCAGGGTAGGGATGGGCCATGGGGAGATAGGCAGGGTAGGGATGGGCCATGGGGAGATAGGCAGGGTAGGGATGGGCCATGGGGAGATAGGCAGGGTAGGGATGGGCCATGGGGAGATAGGCAGGGTAGGGATGGGCCATGGGGAGATAGGCAGGGTAGGGATGGGCCATGGGGAGATAGGCAGGGTAGGGATGGGCCATGGGGAGATAGGCAGGGTAGGGATGGGCCATGGGGAGATAGGCAGGGTAGGGATGGGCCATGGGGAGATAGGCAGGGTAGGGATGGGCATGGGGAGATAGGCAGGGTAGGGATGGGCCATGGGGAGATAGGCAGGGTAGGGATGGGCCATGGGGAGATAGGCAGGGTAGGGATGGGCCATGGGGAGATAGGCAGGGTAGGGATGGGCCATGGGGAGATAGGCAGGGTAGGGATGGGTCATGGGGAGATAGGCAGGGTAGGGATGGGCCATGGGGAGATAGGCAGGGTAGGGATGGGCCATGGGGAGATAGGCAGGGTAGGGATGGGCCATGGGGAGATAGGCAGGGTAGGGATGGGCCATGGGGAGATAGGCAGGGTAGGGATGGGCCATGGGGAGATAGGCAGGGTAGGGATGGGCCATGGGGAGATAGGCAGGGTAGGGATGGGCCATGGGGAGATAGGCAGGGTAGGGATGGGCCATGGGGAGATAGGCAGGGTAGGGATGGGCCATGGGGAGATAGGCAGGGTAGGGATGGGCCATGGGGAGATAGGCAGGGTAGGGATGGGCCATGGGGAGATAGGCAGGGTAGGGATGGGCCATGGGGAGATAGGCAGGGTAGGGATGGGCCATGGGGAGATAGGCAGGGTAGGGATGGGCCATGGGGAGATAGGCAGGGTAGGGATGGGCCATGGGGAGATAGGCAGGGTAGGGATGGGTCATGGGGAGATAGGCAGGGTAGGGATGGGTCATGGGGAGATAGGCAGGGTAGGGATGGGTCATGGGGAGATAGGCAGGGTAGGGATGGGCCATGGGGAGATAGGCAGGGTAGGGATGGGCCATGGGGAGATAGGCAGGGTAGGGATGGGCCATGGGGAGATAGGCAGGGTAGGGATGGGCCATGGGGAGATAGGCAGGGTAGGGATGGGCCATGGGGAGATAGGCAGGGTAGGGATGGGCCATGGGGAGATAGGCAGGGTAGGGATGGGCCATGGGGAGATAGGCAGGGTAGGGATGGGCATGGGGAGATAGGCAGGGTAGGGATGGGCCATGGGGAGATAGGCAGGGTAGGGATGGGCCATGGGGAGATAGGCAGGGTAGGGATGGGCCATGGGGAGATAGGCAGGGTAGATGGGCCATGGGGAGATAGGCAGGGTAGGGATGGGCCATGGGGAGATAGGCAGGGTAGGGATGGGCCATGGGGAGATAGGCAGGGTAGGGATGGGCCATGGGGAGATAGGCAGGGTAGGGATGGGCCATGGGGAGATAGGCAGGGTAGGGATGGGTCATGGGGAGATAGGCAGGGTAGGGATGGGCATGGGGAGATAGGCAGGGTAGGGATGGGTCATGGGGAGATAGGCAGGGTAGGGATGGGTCATGGGGAGATAGGCAGGGTAGGATGGGTCATGGGGAGATAGGCAGGGTAGGGATGGGTCATGGGGAGATAGGCAGGGTAGGGATGGGCCATGGGGAGATAGGCAGGGTAGGGATGGGCCATGGGGAGATAGGCAGGGTAGGGATGGGCCATGGGGAGATAGGCAGGGTAGGGATGGGCCATGGGGAGATAGGCAGGGTAGGGATGGGCCATGGGGAGATAGGCAGGGTAGGGATGGGCCATGGGGAGATAGGCAGGGTAGGGATGGGCCATGGGGAGATAGGCAGGGTAGGGATGGGCCATGGGGAGATAGGCAGGGTAGGGATGGGCCATGGGGAGATAGGCAGGGTAGGGATGGGCCATGGGGAGATAGACAGGGTAGGGATGGGCCATGGGGAGATAGGCAGGGTAGGGATGGGTCATGGGGAGATAAGCAGGGCAGGGATGGGCCATGGGGAGATAGGCAGGGTAGGGATGGGCCATGGGGAGATAGGCAGGGTAGGGATGGGTCATGGGGAGATAGGCAGGGTAGGGATGGGCATGGGGAGATAGGCAGGGTAGGGATGGGCCATGGGGAGATAGGCAGGGTAGGGATGGGCCATGGGGAGATAGGCAGGGTAGGGATGGGCCATGGGGAGATAGGCAGGGTAGGGATGGGCCATGGGGAGATAGGCAGGGTAGGGATGGGCCATGGGGAGATAGGCAGGGTAGGGATGGGCCATGGGAGATAGGCAGGGTAGGGATGGGCCATGGGGAGATAGGCAGGGTAGGGATGGGCCATGGGGAGATAGGCAGGGTAGGGATGGGCCATGGGGAGATAGGCAGGGTAGGGATGGCTATGGGGAGATAGACAGGGTAGGGATGGGTCATGGGGAGATAGGCAGGGCAGATATAGGCTATGGGGAGATAGACAGGGTAGGGATGGGTCATGGGGAGATTGGCAGGGCAGATATAGGCTATGGGGAGATAGACAAGGGTGGGGTTAGGATTTAGGGAGTAGGGGATGTATTAGGGAGGTAAGTGGAAGGGTTTAGGGTCTGGTTGGTGTTTGGGGGGAATAACGAAATGGGTTACTGAGTAGGAAAAGGCAAAGAATTGGAAAAGGGGTTAGTGAAGGTGGACAGCGTGTTGTAGGGGGAGGGGAGTTTTGAGTAAGATGGGGAAGGAGTCGAGTGGAGGAGTTGTATGGGAGGGGGAAGGAGTTTGCATTGGATATGGGAAGGGAAGGACAAATAAGGGAGAAAGGAAGGGAGGGAGGAATGGTAAGAAGGAAAGGATAAGTGAGTGGGAGGGAAGATGGGAGGAAGGATAGCTGGAGGGAAGGGAGAAGAACCCTGGGAATGAAAGAAAGGAAGGAAAGGGAAAGTGGGGGAAGAGAATGGATAGAAGGAAGGAAGCGCAGAGGAGGAAGATGGAGATGAAGTAAAGAGGAAGGCGAGGGAGGTAGGATGAAAGACTCAAAGGAGAGGAAGGGAAAGAAAGGGAGGGAAGGGAAGAGGGGCAAAGAGGATAGGGAAGGAGGAATGATGGAGAAGGGGAAGGGAATCCCCCATCCCCAGAGCAGATCTTCCTGCCATGGAGCCGGAGGGCTGGTGGTGGAGGGGGGCTCCCGATTGGTGATGACCGCTGACCATCTTCAGGGCTGCCGATCGCCATTTTCTTCATGTCCACCCAGATTGTCTTGTTGGGGGATCCGTGATGGCTGTTGTCCCCCCCCTCCGACACGCTCACCCTTCTCTCTTTCCCCCTGCCCCCCATAGGTGATGAGCATCCTGAGCAACCCCAGCGGAGTGGCCCCCCAGTCCCAGGCCGACTTCTCCATCTCCCCCCTGCACGGCAGCCTGGACAGCGCCAATGCCATCTCGGCCAGCTGCAGCCAGCGCAGCGACTCCATCAAGTCCGTGGACAGCCTCCCCACCTCCCAGGCCTACTGCCCCCCCACCTACACCACCACGGGCTACAGCGTGGATCCCGTGGCCGGCTACCAGTACGGCCAGTACGGCCAGAGTGAGTATCCTTCCTTCTTGCCCCCGCTTCCCCCCCCCCTCCCCGGAGAAAAGAGGAACCCCTGGCAGGTTCATTCCCCCTTCTCTGAGAGAGATGGAGATGGTGGGGAGGAAGGGGGGGTCTGTACTCCTGCCTAATGGGCCTCCCCAGAAATGCCAATGGTGGGGTGGGGGTTGGGGTCTTCAGGTGAACTTTTGGGGCCTCCAAGGCTGTCTCCTGTGCCCACCAAGCAACCCTTAAATCCAGGGGTGGGCTTCAAAAATGTTAGCAAGGGGTTCTCTGCCCAGTTGCTGAGTGGACGTGGCCATGGTGGGCGTGGCCTAGTCAGCCTCCTGCACCATGGCGGGAAGGGGCATTTTTGCCCTCCCCAGGCTCCAGAGGCTTTCCTCGAGCCTCCAGGACGGCGAAAACAGCCTTCCCAGGCTCTGGAGGCTGGAAATGGGCCTGTTTCCAGCCTTCCTGAATTTCCGGTAGGCCCGTCTTTCGCCCTCCCCGAGCCTCTATGTGTACCCTACACTTACCTGCATCCAAAACGGGCCTTGCCTACCTTGGGGAGCGGGAGGTGCCTTTGACCTTCCCCCTCCCCCCCCCCCCCGGTGTCTATGGAGATCTTCCGGGTCATGGGATTGTCCCAAAGCTGCTTTTTCAAAAAGGCAAGCCAGATTTCTTTTTCTTTTTTCCTTGAAGACATTTCACTTCCCATCCTAAGGAGCTTCTTCCCTTCTGACCGAACGGCGGAACGGATTCCGTCAGAACGGAAGAAGCTTCTTGGATCAGAAGAAGCGAGACATCTTCTTCGAGGAGAAACAAAAAGTTTGGACAGCCCCTTTTCTCCACAAGAGGAGACTCTGCCTTGCGTTGAGGGGCTCTGAAGCACTGAGGAGTCGGGAGCCCCTAAGGTTGGGGGGGGCAGCCCCCCCAAGGACCCCCCCCCCAGACCAAGGAATGAGTCTCAGGCCCCTTTCTACAGCGACGGGTGGCTCAGATCCCCTTTTACCATCCCGGGGTCCCTTTGGTCCTAGCACCCGAGTCCATTACCCGGTGATGTTTGGGGCATCCCCGTTTCCCGTCCCCTGGGGGGGCTCCCCAATTGACCTCTGGGCCCCTCCGTTTTCCTTTTAATGCGCTTTCCTTCCCCAAATGAGAAACGGCTGCCTGGGGGGGGGGAGGTCCGTGAACGCTCCCTCACCTCTTCTCCCACCCCCACCCCTATTTCTCTCAGGGAAGGAAACCCCCCCTCCCCCAAATAAGTTTGGCCTGTGACCCCCCCTGACCTTCCTCTCGCTTCTGGTGGTGAAACCCGGCCACAGGTGGAAGTGATAAAATCCTGAAACAAATTCCAGGGGCAGAGAGAGATGCCCTCCAGGCCGAGTGTTAGTCACAGCCCCGCTATAGATGTGCCTGTGTGTGTGTAACGGACCGTTGTGTGTTTGTGCGTGACTGAGGACAAGAGGGGGCCCCACAAAAAACGAGGAGCTGCATTTGGGGAGGCGGGTTAGGGTGGCCTCGTCCCTTTCCGAAGCTGCCCCGAAGAGGGGCAAAACTTGGCCAAAATCTCTCCGGAGGGACTAGGGGGCCCTGCTGCCAGCCTCTTCCTTGGGGCCCCTGAGACACCCTGACTCACCCTAAGGGAGCTTAAGAAGCAAGGGGGCTCTGAGCGGGCAGCCCACTCCTCTCCCTGAGCCCCCCGGTCAGCAAGCAGGACAGGCTTTGGCTGGGATGGACTTCTCTTCTTCCTCCCACCTCGGCTCATTGGACGAGGTTGAAGCAAAGAAGCTTTCCCAACCTTCTCCGGCTCGGCCTTCCTCTCACCAGCCATGGGCCCAAGGGGGCCTCTCTCTCCTAGGTTTCTAAAGGGGGAGGAGAGGGGAGAGGGAAAGAGAAGAGAAGAGGAAGGGAGAATTTTAGAAGAATGGAAAGAAGGGAGAGTGGAAGGGGGAAGAGAAGAGAGAAGAGAAGAGGAAGGGAATTTTAGAGGAATGGAAAGAAGGGAGAGTGGAAGGGAGAAGAGAAGAGAAGAGAAAGAGAACTTTAGAGGAATGGAAAGAAGGAGAGTGGAAGGGGGAAGAGGAGGGGAGGAGAAAAGAAGAGAAAGGGAACTTCAGAGGAATGGAAAGAAGGGAGAGTGGAAGGGGGAAGAGGAGAAGAGAGAAGAGAAAGGAAGGGAATTTTAGAGGAATGGAAAGAAGGGGGAGGAGAGGGGAGAGGGAAAGAGAAGAGAAGAGGAAGGGAGAATTTAGAGGAATGGAAAGAAGGGAGAGTGGAAGGGGGAAGAGAAGAGAGAAGAGAAGAGGAAGGGAATTTTAGAGGAATGGAAAGAAGGGAGAGTGGAAGGGGGAAGAGAAGAGAAGAGAAAGAGAACTTTAGAGGAATGGAAAGAAGGAAGAGTGGAAGGGGGAAGAGGAGGGGAGGAGAAAAGAAGAGAAAAGGAACTTCAGAGGAATGGAAAGAAGGGAGAGTGGAAGGGGAAGAGGAGAAGAGAAAGGGAGTTTTAGAGGAATGGAAAGAAGGGAGAGTGGAAGGGGGAAGAGGAGGGGAGGAGAAGAGAAGAGAAGAGAAAGGGAACTTTAGAAGAATGGAAAGAAGGAAGAGTGGAAGGGGGAAGAGAAGAGAAGAGAAGACAAGAGGAGAAGAGGAGAGAAGAGGAGTTTTAGAGGAATGGAAAGAAGGGAGAGTGGAAGGGGGAAGAGGAGAGGAGAAGAGAAGGAGTTTAAGAGGAATGGAAAGAAGGGAGAGTGGTAGGGGGAAGAGGAGAAGAGAAGAGGGAGTTTTAGATGAATGGAAAGAAGGGAGAGTGGTAGGGGGAAGAGGAGGGGAGAGGAGAAGGAAAGAGGGAAAATTTTAGGGGAATGGGAAGAGGGGGAGGGGAAGAGGGAAGAGGAGGGAAGGGGAGAGAGAAAGGAGGGGGAAAAAAGAAAAGGAAAGGAGGGTAGAAGGGGAAGGAAGGAGTGGAAGGGGATTCTGCCTCCATTTGGGGCCTGAGCTGAACCCCAACAGCCCCTTCCTAGACAGGCTCCCTCTTTGGGTGCCGATAGCCTGGATACCGGCAACTTCCCCAACCTGAGATGGAGGAAACGGGGTGCCTTTGGGGCCGTGTGAAAACCAAAACCACTACACAAATCTTCAGGAATTACTCACCTCCAAATAAGGGGCGTCTCTCCCCCTCCCTTCCTAAAATCACCTGCTTAAAATCCCATTTATCTCCACAGAGAAGCCCTGAGCTCGTGTTACCCCTTTCTCCCTACGCCCCTGGGGTGTAGAGCCCAAACCAGGGGTGAAATCCAGCAGGTTCCTACAGGTTCTGGAGAACTAGTAGCGGAAATTTTGAGTAGTTCGGAAAACCGGTAGCGGAAATTTTGAATAGTTCGGAGAACTGGTAGTGAAAATTTTCAGTAGTTCGGAGAACCGGCAAATACCACCTCTGGCTGGTCCCAGAGTGGGGAGGGAATGGGGATTTTGCAGTATCCTTCCCCTGCCACGCCCACCAAGCCATGCCCACAGAACCGGCAGGGAAAAATTTTGAATTCCCCCCCCCTGGCCCAAACCTTTGTTTTTTCTTCATTTGTTCTGCGTCTTACATGCAAAGCGCAGCCTAAATGTGGGCTTGTGAGCACTTTTGCCAAGGTTGGCTGCCGCAGACGGGTGGAATCAGTGGTGAAATGTAAAATTTGTGGCTACTGTGGGCTTGGCTTGGTGGTGGTGGGATCATGTGACTGGGTGGGTGTGGCCAACTTTTTTTTTTTTACTTTTTAAAAGCATTTTTTACTACCTGTTCGCCCGAATCGGTAGTAAAAAAATGCTTTAAAAAGTTTTTTAAAAGGTTCTGATTGTCGCGCAGCACAGCTGATTGTTGGAACCTTTTTTTGACAATCAGCTGTGCCGCACGATTGTCGGAACCTTTTTTTTTTTTTTAGTTTTTTAAATCTTTTTTTTTACTACCGGTTCGCGCGAACTGGTAATTTATATCATTACCGATTCGCCTAAACCAGTAGCATTTCATCCCTGGGTAGAACATTTTAACTTGGCACTTCAGTGGCCGCCCATGGCAAGGTCTGCAGGGAGGGCATTCCCTCCCACCCGCCTGCTGTGCCAACTTCCTAAAAGTTGGGTGGGGGAGGGGCTTAAAAGGGCCCGAGGACAGGCTGCGGCTTGACCTTTTAATGCCCACCCTCTTTCCCCGGCCTTGTGCCCGAGCCGTTGCCCACCTCCTTGGTCCTGACTCATCCGAGGAAGAGTGCCAGCCTGGAGAATTGAGCTAGTCCCACAGGCCAAAAGCTACACTAATGACGGCGGTTATGGAACGCCGAGGCGTGAAAAAAAATCCTAATGGATGTGACAAGTCTAATAAGGATTTTTGGTAGGAAGGACCTCCCTTTGGGGAAAGGCCGCTGACAGGATGCTGACGGCTGGAAATTTGTTTACTTGCCGGCACCAAGTGGGGCTCTCTGCGCAATTCTTATTAATCTAATTTGAGGCTGAAGAATTGCAGGGGGTGGGGAGAAACGGGCAAAAAAAAAAAAGAAATTTGAAGCTCAGCTAACAAAAGAGTTTCACCATTTGGATTCCTGGATGCCCAGGCCAAATAAATGCAAAACTATTAAAATTCATTTCTGCCTGCTGTCTAGAGCCGAAAGCCAATCCGTACAGGTCGTCCTAGATTTACGACCGGAATTGAGCCCAAATTTTTGCTGCTTAAGTGAAGTGAACGTGGCTCTGTTTTACGACCTTCCCTGCCCCCGTTATTAAGTGAAATCACTGCCGTCGTTGAGTTAGTAACCGGGTTGTGAAGTGAATCCAGTTTCCCCGTCATTTATGGCGACCGTCATAAATGTGAGTCGAAACTCCCGGGCGTCTGGATTTGATCACATGACCCAGACAGGAATGATGCGAGTGTGGAAAAACTATCATAAGTCTCTTTTTTCAGTGCCGTGGTAACTTCGAGCGATCACTAAATGAACTGCCATTGAGGATTACCTGTTTTTAGATTTTGAACCCTACTGTTGGATTGATTGGCGCTTTCTCAAATCGTGAGATCGGCACTGAATGAAATGCTGCGGTTTTTATGTTGGCGGAGCTACCAAATCTCTTTTATGTTTAATAATCGGCCGAAAAGGTTATAGAAAAAATGCTTTTAAAAGCCTCTGACGATCCCAGCTGAGCCGCGCGATCGTCAGAGGCTTTTTTTTTTTTAAACTTTTAAAAGCATTTTTTCGGCCGAAGAGGTTGTAGAAAAAATGCTTTTAAAAGTTTTTTTAAAAAAAGCCTCTGATGAGGTGGGCGGGGTAAACGAGCAACGACCAGGCCGGGGACTGGTTCGGGGGTGTGGCCAGCCAATGTTATTACCGGTTCTCTTCTTGCAAACCGGTGCAAATTAGCAGATTATAACTAGCAAGACCCATTTACCGTACATTTAAACTTCAATAATTCTATCATGGTTTAAAAAGACAAGCTTTCTTTTCGATTTACTCGGTGGTGGGATACAGCCAGTGGTGGGATTCAAGTAATTTAACAGCCGGTTCTGTGCCCTAATTATTTCTTCCAATAACCAGTTTGCTAAACTGCTCAGAAAATTAACAACCGGTTCTCACGAAGTGATGCAAACTGGCTGAATCCCACCACTGGATTCAGCCGGTTCGGGAAAACTGGTAGTTAAATTGCTTCCTTCCAGGAATCCCCACACAACCCATTTTAGCTCCCAGGTAAGTGCAGGGAGGCCCGATCAGTAGCCTTACTCTCTTCTTCAGCCCATCAAAACACTGGTTTTATATCAGAAATATAAAATCTGGGCGTTCCAGAGAGTAAAGCTTTGTCATGTGGGTATTCGACAGTTCAGCCCATCAAAACACTGGTTTTATATCAGAAATATAAAATCTGGGCGTTCCAGAGAGTAAGGCTTCGTCACGTAGTATTTGACAGAGCAAAAAAGGGAAAGGTTTTTAATTTTAATCTATATTAATCGCGTCTGTTCATGCCAGATTGATCAGTTGTTGTTGTTGTAAACCACCCAGATTCACTTAAGTGAGATGCAGGGTAGTGTGGGAATTTAATAAAAAAAAATTAAATGAACTCTCGACGATCCTGCTTTTTCTACAACTACTGGGCCCTTTGCTGGGAATGCATCTGTTGTGACATTGGCATTCCCGTTGCCACACTATCGACAATTATAAATGTTACCATGGGGGAGAATTGCACCGGGGGTGGGTGGGTGGGAGTTGGGAATGAACCTGTTTCAAGATTCACGCATCTGTCTCTTTCTTTCTCTTTCTCTTTTTCTTTCTTTCTTTCTTTCTCTGTTTTTCTTTCTTTTCTTTCCTTTCTCTCTCTCTCTCTCTTTATTTATTTACTTATTTTCTCCCTCTCCTTTGCCCCCACTAGCTGCTGTCGACTACCTGACCAAGAATGTCAGCTTGTCCACACAGCGCCGGATGAAACTCGGGGAACATTCAGCCGTGCTGGGGCTCCTACCTGTCGAAACAGGCCAGGCCTACTGAAGGCTCCTTCCCTGGGGGAGGGGGGGGTTCCACCCCACAGCCAACCCTCTGCCATCAAGAACCCCCCCACTACGACCACCGAACTTTCTGGGACCAGCGGCCTCTTGTCGTCCACCGCCGGCGTTTCCTTCGGAGACTCAAAGGACCAAACCTTCCCACCCTTGCCTCCGTCCCAGAGGCCCACTGATCTACCCACCTCGACCCCCAGCCCTGTCCCCCCCCCATCCTTGTTCTGTGTACCTACGAAGACTTAACAACCATGTTCCCAACTCTAGAGACGATGAATTTGTAAAGGACTCCTCCCATCTGGGAGCTGGGTAGCTGACGTGGCGTCCTACCAATGCTTCCCAGATGTTTCCCAATCGTGGCGACCACTCGGCGGAGTCAAAATGTGGAGGCTCTATTCTTCGTCATTATAATAGCTAGGTAGATACCGATATATTCTTTGGCCCACCTACCCTCCCCGTGACTCGCACACATTTCCCCCCCCCCCATCATTTTTATTATAGTACACGATCAATAATTCATGGAAGAAGCTGGCTGACCCAAGGACCACAAGGGGATGCTTTGGACCAAATACATACAAGCGTCAAGAAGCAAGACTGACAAAGCTAAGAAAAGTTGATCCTGGTCAGAAAAGGAGAGCGAGAGGGAGAGAGAATTGCTACGTCTTGTAAATACGTTCACCTCCGCTTCGGGGTTAGGAAGGTTCGATGGGGAAGCGGATCCGGCAGATTCCGAGAAAGCTCTGGGTTCCGTCTCGGAGTAGTCTTCACAAGGGCCACCTCTGGGTTCCTCAAAAGAGCGCGAATCCATGCTTGCGTCCCGGAGGCCTCTGGCTTTGGGGAGCGACCAGTTTCCCCGCTGGGTCACTTCGGAGGCCCCACCTGTCCATCAGGAGAAAATTGGGGAGGGGAGGGGATTAGAGAAGGCAGAAAGATTTGCATTCACATCCTCCCCCCCGTCCCCATGACGTGAGTTGCTGGCAGCCCAGCAGAAGGTGGCCGATCATCTATGGAGGCATCTGGGTGTGCCAAACATCTCCAAAATGGCTTCCTCCTCCCCCCCCAACAGCCGTTTGCCCATTCCTCGGAAATGAAGCGGTGACCGAAAGGGGGGTCCCTGCCCACTCTTTGAGGTGCCCTGCTACGAGACCCCTAACCCAGATTGCAAAGGACATCTTGGAGGGGCAAACAAACCCCGGCTTCAGATGCTCCCCTAGCAGGGAACCATGGGTTCTATAAAGGTGCATCTGGGATGGCCCCCGGGGGTACATTTCCTCGGCCCCTCGTCTTCTCCCACCCATTTTCTAACCAGTATGTTTGCCTCGCTTTCTTTCAAAACTGTAATTCTTGATTGCACTCTTAGCATCAGAGGTGGGCAGAGAGCGATTAAAAAAAAGATTGTGTCACACACAGACACACACACATCACACACACACACAGCATCTCTCCTGCCCTTAGCTCAGGGGTCAGCAACCTGCGGCTCTGGAGCCGCATGTGGCTCGTTCACCCCTCTGCTGCGGCTCCCTGTCACTCAAAATATGCATCACAACCGCCAATGTGCGACACCCACTGGCACGCAATTTATTGAGCTTTTCAACCCCCGGTAGACCAACCATGGATAAATCCAAGAAAAGAAAATTCAGAAGAAAACAGAACATTGAATTCAACTACATAGGCTGGTTTTGTGGCCGCTCAGGAAATCATCAGGCACCGGAAGGGGTTTTGTGGCTCCCGGTGTTTTCTGTGGGAAACTGGTCCAAATGTCTCTTTGAGTGTTTAAGGTTGCAGACCCCTGCCTTAGCTCCTCGTTGGTGAAATTTAAGAGCTTTCCGGTCTGTATGGTTCAATTAAAACTGTTCAAGATTTTAGGGATCTGGGAGGGCAGGATCTGTTCAGAAGGGAAAGTCATGCCAACTTGTCTACCATTTCACCTATGGCATCGTGGCCTCCTGATCCAGCCACATCCCGCCGCCCACACCTCCCAACACTCAAAGTGCCAACCAGAGCTGGCCCTTGCCGCTGACCCAAGACTCATTCTGCATTCCCATGTTTTCTACCCTGTTTCCCCGACCTCCCCTGATAATAAGCCCAATCTGGCTTTTGAGCGCATGCGCTAAAATAAGCTGCCTCCCAAAAATAAGCCCTCCCCAAAAATATTTAAACGCAGAGCTGGAAATCAGGTAAGGCGGCAAGAGGAGCCCCATCTTGCTCCACGCGCCCCAAAATAATAAGACCTCCCCGAAAATAAGGCCAAGCGCTTATTTCGGGTTTCAAAAAAATATAAGATAGGGTCTTACTTTCAGGAAAACACGGTAGATACTCGATAGATCTAGAAAACAGATCCTAAATACAGGTAGTCCTCAACTTAACAACAGTTCACTTTGGGACCATCCAAAGTTACAGCGGCACTGGGGGAAAAAAGTGACTTGGGACCTTTTTTCCCCACACTTACGACCGTTGCGACATCCCCTCGGTCACATGATCTGCACGCGGAGATTTTGATAACTGTGATTCACATTTACGACGGTTGCAGCGTCCCCAGGGCGGGGTCACACAGGCGATCCCCTTTTGCAACCGTCGGGCAAGCAAAAGTCCACAGGGAAGCCAGATTCACTGAACTGCCGTGTGACTCGCTTAACGAATGCTTGACAAAACGAGGCAAGAAAAGCCGTCAAATGGGCCAAATTTGTTGTCGTAAATTGAGGGCTGCCTGTAGTATCCATGTACCGGAGTTAAGGTTTTGGCAGTTGTGGGTACTGGCCATTTGCTACCGGCGTGTGCACAGAGTGTATTTAATGACGTCCGGGAAGGTGGGCGGAGCCTCCCACTGCCGCTGCTACCGATTCGCCCGAACCGGGACGAACCGGTAGCAACCCACCACTGGTGCTAGCTGATCAGGATATGACAAAAACTTGTGGCCCAAACTAGACAACTTAACCAAGGAAACCAGGCCAGTCCTGTTTACCATTTCTCTAAAGTGCGCAAGAATTTAAACCACCAAATTTGTAGCTATAAAAAAAAAATCGGAACACGAAAGTGGCCGATCTACCGACATTTTCCCCTTTGGTCACATCTCCTGGAAGGAAGAAAACTTGTCCTGGTTTTTATTTTAATATTAACACAGAGAGAGAGAGAGTATGATGCTGGATTTTTTTTTTTTTTACACAAGTAAGATGAGTCGACGCATATAGAAATAGGCACACGTTATATCAATGGCTTCGGAGGCAGAGAAACTTACTTTCTACGCTACTGTTTGCGCTGCTTCTCCGATATTTATTAAAGGCAGGGAGGGGGGAGACTAAGCCGCTTCTGCTTTGAAAAGAAAAGATGCGTTTTTAAAAATCATGAGTGAAAAAGAAGAAGAGAAAAAAAGGTGGGACATGGCTTTGAGCAGGATTTTTCTGGCAATAACTCAAATCAGATTTGGGCACTGGGAACTAAAAGCCGATTTTTGCGTGATTTCTGTGTGTCTGTACAATGGCCTTAACTCCTCCTTCTCGGTTTCCACCCCCCATTATGGGCTATAAAAGAGCCCAGGGTTTTTATGACTCTTGAAAAGAAAAAAAAACGAGTTTTGCCCCACTGGGCCAGTTCAGTGGGTCAACGCAGCTACTTTCAAAGGGGTTGATCTTGATCTTGTGGCTCGGTGGCTAAAGACGCTGAGCTTGTCGATCAGGAAGGTTGGCGATTCGAATCCCTAGTACTGCGTGAGCAGGGGGTTGGACTAGATGACCTCCGAGGTCCCTTCCAACTCTGTTACTGTTAGGGTGAAGAAGAAAACCCAAGGAAGCATTTGCAGTTGAGGCAAAGCCATCAAAAGTCCTTCCGTCCATTGGCTTCCTTCATTTTTCTTGCTTTTTTGTTTTGTTTTGGAAGAAGTGGGAAATAACCAGTGGTGAAATCCTCCAAAGGCTGCTACCGGTTTGCTGCGCGCGGTTCGCCCGAACTGGTAGCTTTTATTACTACCAGTTCTCCCGAACCAGTCCAAACCGGTAGCATTTCACCCCTGGAAATAACCCACCACTTTCCATTCTTAGGAGAAGCCCCTCTTCTCTTGCTGAGCCCCAACTTTTCTCCCGCCTCCTAAAGACTCGTGTGGCTTCCCTTAATTTCGACTCGGATCTAACAATAACTCTGTTGCTCGCGAGGAAAGTTACCATGGTCGTCGCCCGTCAAAGTTCCCTCTTCCTGGCTTGGGCAAGAGACCGTACAGACGGTGATCCTGCTGGATTTCCGTCCCTTGGCCCGATCCTGTGGCTCCTGTGCTTTGTTCAAGGAACAAAAATCAAAATTACCCAGCGAACAACCTTCCTACTAAGAATCCCTTCTCTCCGATCCAAACCATGTCCTTAACAAACTGACGCAAAGACGGCCACACAAACCCAAGTCCGATGATCATTCCAGGAACTCAGGTTGCATCTCCTCCACACACCCCAAAAAAACCTCTGGTCCCAAAATACAGGTGCACCTCAAACTCCCCCCCCCACCGCGTCCCACTTCTTTCCAAGGGGGAGAAATAGCCTATTTCAAGATCAGCGGTTCGAATCCCTAGTATAGGTCTCAGTGAGCAGAGGGTTGGACTAGATGACCTCCAAGGTCCCTTCCCACTCTGTTACTGTTGAAAAGCTGCCCCCACCGTAAAAGCTTTGAAAGGAGAAAACCGGGAACCCCTTCCGCTGTCACCCGCTCCCCTCCTCTTCTCCCCCAAATATCATTCCAAGAACTGTGTGTATTTTTTTTAATTTTTTTTTTCTATATCCCTCCACGGACCACCCCCCAAATCCCTGGGGAGCTTGAAGGAGGGGGAAACGTATTACTGAAGACATTTTGTGTATTTAATGTTTCTAATTTTCCAGCCCTAACGACGTCATATACCCGAAGTATTTACCCGTAGCACAGGCCTTTATTAATAGTAATTGCCGATTCATTGCTTCTGTGTTCAAGTCATAGCTAATTTTGCTCCATTGTGTATGGTTGTGGCCGGGCAGGTGTATGTGTGCAAGAGAGGGCCAGGAATGCGTGTGTGCACGAGCGTATGAGTAAGCATGAGGTATAATCGCTCCCATAATTTATTCAGCTATATGGAATAGTAGAATAGAAAAAAACAAAAATTCGTATTGCTTTAACCCTCTGCGGCCTGTGGTATCCTTCTATGTAACTCAGGCATAACTGTTATACATTAAAAAAAAAAGGAAAGAAAAATGAATCGTGGTTTTGGAAGTCTCTTTTTTTTCCCCTTTCATCCTCGGGAACACCTGGGAAGAAAGTACAGCATCAAATTTTAGCAAGGCTGAAAGCGACACCGCTTGGCAAGGTACTTCAGCCGACTTGCTAAGACGCCTCGACGGTGCCAATCGTAATAAAATTTGGGACGGACCATTTTTTTTGGATTCAAGATACGAAATTTATGTGGACTTTGGGACGGTTCGTTGTCGGAGGCCAACGTTGGGCCAGAAGTTTTACAGAAGTTGGGTACCTTGGGAAGGAGACTGCAAAGTTTGCAGAGAATTCGGCAATGGGTGGCCCGTTTCCTCTTTCTGTCTCTTTTTCTCTCTGTCTTGCTATCTCTTTCTCTCTCTTTTTTCTTTTCTCTCTCTTTCTTACTCTCTTTCTCTCTTTCACTCTTTCTTTCTCTCTCTTTCTCTCTCTCTCATTCTCTTTCTCTCTCTTTCCCTTTCTCTCTCTCTCTTTCTCTCGCTTTCTTTCTCTTTCTCTTTCCTTTTTCTCTTTCTCTCTCTTTCTCTCTCTCTCTCTCTCTCTAACCAACAATGTGAAAAAAACGACAAAAGTTTCAATTAGGGCCAGTGTTCTAAGGAAAATAAAAATAAAAATAAACAATTATTGCAAATAAATAACCAGGGAAAAACAAACGGAGACCGCAATCTGAAATTAGGGTTTATGAGTTTGGGAATTAACACTTAG